TTGGCCACAGCCGGCCTGCAGCCCAGCCAGGTGAGCAGGCGCCCCAGGTCAGGCTCCGGGTGGGCGGCCTCGCGGGGCCAGTGTGGCCTCGGGAGCAGGACGTGTGCAGGTCCCGCTCAGGCCCGGCCGTCAGACCCCTCGCCCAGCATCTCCCCCTTGCAGGAGCGGCTCCCCCTGGAGCTGCTGCCTGCAAAGGCAGGCGGTGGCTTCTGCTGAGCCCGTGCCAGAGCCGCACGCCGGTCAGTGCCTCTTGCTGGTGTTCCCACCGATCCGGGTGCCGTCCACCGGCTCTCCCCAGGCCACGCGCAGCCAGTGCCAGGGAAGCTCCACAGCCTGGTGGTCGGGGCCGCAGCGGGGCCTGGGAGAAGTCGCCCCGTCCCGGCTGGCTCTGCTCCCCAAGCCCGAGGCCCCTGCGCCAAAGGTGGCCGCCATGGGGGCCGGCCCTGCACTCCACTGCAGCGCTCAGGGGCTCTGGTGCGCCAAGGCCTGCTCTGGGCTTACACTCTCGCGCCCGCCCTGTCCCCACCTCCTCCAGCCACTGACCCCGGCCCGCAGGGCAGAGGCTCCCTGGAGACCAGGCCTGGCCGTGCCCCCCTCGCTCAGTGTCCTGCTCGTCCTCCCGCTCCCAGGCCTGGCGAACAGCCCGGTGCAGCGTCTGCTGCCTGGGGGTGCGGGTGTGGGGAGCAGGTGCAGATGGAGTGGCGTTCAGGGCATGGGGTGCAGGGCGCGCAGTGTGGGGTGTAAGGTGAGCGTGCAGCCCTTTGGGGGTTCACTGGAGGTGGGAAACTGGCTCGAGCGAAGGCCAGGCAGCACCGCCACAGCGCCCCAACGGGCCACGCTTGCGGCCTGAGGAGTGGGGTGGCAAGCCGGGCGGCGTGCATGGCGGGGGTGTCCCCGGGGCTGCTCTGGCATCTGTCTCCGTTGTCCAAAGGCCCAATAAAACCCGGGTTCACGCAGGATTTCTCTGGGTGCGTGTACTGAAATGAACTAGAAATGGTTTTCCTGGAAACCACCCAAATCCAGAGGAAGCAGTCACCGCCACGCGCCGGGAGTGGCATCAGGGCTGACCTTGCAGGAAGTTTCTGTCTCCCCAGACGGGGCCCGCGTGGCTCCCAGGGTGTGCTGTGAGGGCTCCCCGCTCCCTGCGAGGGGCAAGCGAGGGGCACACGTCCCTGTGCGCACCAGCACGCCCAGTCTCCGTGACTGCGGCTCTCAGGGGCTCAGAAGCCCAGACGCCAGCGTTCAGGGGGTCCCCCCGCACCGGTGCCTCGAGCTTGGCACCAAGAGCCTGCAGGCAGGGTCGCACCTCTGAGCCCTAGCCGCTCAGCTGCTGCCGTGGGTGTGCGACGGTCTCTCCGGTGTGCACACAGCGAGGAAGTAAGCGTATGGAACTGTCCTTCCACGCCACGATTTCCACGGCAACATGCCGCTAAAGACCCGCCCGCGTCCTCCGTGCTCACCCGCAGGCGTCTCCCGTGAGCCACGACCAAACAGCAGCGACGACAGGGGGTCACAGAGCCCCTCGGCCGGGCCGCCCGGACAGCCGTCCCGAAACGGACCGACGTGAGGGCTGCCCCTCCGGGCTGGCCGGTCAAGCGGACCCGAGTGAGCGACGGCACGTTCACTCGCTGAGAGCCCGCGGTCCTCCCAGGCCCCTCTGCGTCGCCCGCTCCCGGCCCCCGGGTGGGCCTCGCTCGGCCGCTCTCCGAGCTGAAGGCGGGTGTGCATGGGGTGGGGCTCCGTGCTGAAGTTCTGCCGTGTCGGGGCTCACACTGGACACGGACATGCTCCCGGGCCCAGAAACTGAGCGCAGACGGGGCAGCTGGCCCACAGGCTCGGACGGGGCGGGAGGAGGACAGGGCTCCCGCCGAGCGGCCACCTCCCCTGCAACGGCCTCCTGGGAGACCTGGGCTCCCGTCTTTCCTTCCCCAGAGCTCGGCGAGGTCCTCAAGGTGACAGTCACAGGTTGAGTGGGCACTGAGATGGCACAGGCAGGGGCTCTGCAGGCCACAGGCGCCAGCTCAGGGTCACACAGAACCAACTGGTCAGTGTGACGAGCACCAGTGAACCCTGGAAATATTTATCAACATCCCAAAGCGGAACATCCCGGGCAGGGAGCACCCCGGGCAGGGAGCACACCCGGCTGGGAGCCCCCGGGGCAGGGAGCACCCCGGGCAGGGAGCCCCCGGGGCAGGGAGCACCCCGGGCAGGGAGCACCCCCGGCTGGGAGCACCCCACGCATCATTCAGACCCCGGGCTGAGTCTTCACCCACGGCCGGCAGCTCGCGCCCGGATGTCGGCTCTCGGACCTGCAGCGTCTCAGCTCGCGGGGGGAGGAGGAGCCGCGGGCAGCTGGAGGAGCCGCCCGCTCTGGAAGGGGCACGCGGGAACCCAAGGTAAGCGTCTGACGCACGCCCAGGTCACCCGGCACTCGCCAGCGTCCAGGAACGCGGCTCTGGAGAAATTCCAGGTGTTGGAGCAGATTCCAAATCATGCCACAGAGCAGTTTCCTCGTAAAGCGCGCAGCGGCTCCCCCAGGCTCGCCAGCCCGCGGGGGCTCGAGCGCCCCGGCCGGCGGCTGAGACGAGCAGCAGCAGCAGCAGCACGGCCTGCGCGGGGCAGCGCCCGCCTCGAGGAGGGAGCAAGCCAGCTGCTGCCTGGGCTGCCCACCTCACCCAGCCGTGCTGCGGGGGGCTCAGGCCGCAGCACACCCCGAAGCCAGGGCAGGGGTCCCCCAGCCCCAGAGCGTCCCTGGCACGCACATGAGGTCCTTGCCAGACGCCCCTTTCCCCTCAGAACCCCCAAACGATCCACCGCCCCAGCGGGGGCGGAGCTGAGGACCCAGAGCACTGAAGCCACAGATCCTCACAAACCCGCCCCGGCTCTGCGGACGGGCGGCGTCCCTGTGGGCGTCCCTGTGCCGCGCCCGGCGTGGGCCCCGCGTCCAGCCAGCCGAGCCGGAAGCCGGGCGACGCGGAGACGGCCTCTCCCCCGACGCCCGGGCAGCCACGGAGCCGCGCAGACCTGAAGCCGCAGCCCTCGCCGCCCGAGAACGTGCGCGAGCTCGGGCTCAAACCAGAACTTGTCCGTCTCTGCGTGTCTTGGAACACAAGCTCCACGGAAACCACCAAAGCCGGCTCTCCCTCCACCCGTGAGCCGCTGCTTGGCTGCCGCGCGCTCGGGCGGGCGACCGGTGCCCGGGCCACGCTGAGGGGCCTATTTCTGCCCTCACACCGCTGACCGCCCCTCCGCGCCGCCGTTTATCAGAGGCCGCGCCTCGGCCTGCGGATGTGCCAAGGCATCGCGGGTGCTGGGGTATGGGGCGGGCACTGGACAGGAGCACGGGCCTCGCGGTGGCCAGCGGTCCTGGGCCCTGCACAGGGGAAGGCCAGGAGGCGTTCTGGGATCCACGATATCCACAAAAAGGCTCCCCACCCTCCGGCCTGCCGTGCACCAGCAGACGGACAGGCCGCCCAGCTTCGGGAAGACCCTCGCTTTCTCAGCGGGCTCCCGCCGCAGGGGAACGAGGCGCGTAAGCACCCCTGGCCAGCCGGTGTCCCTGGGGCCGGGGGGCACAGCAGGGAAACGTCTGCAGGGCGCCTGCCTCGTCAGCCGCACCCCTGCCCGGCCAGGCCCTCCGGCCCAGGGGGCTCACCCTCAGACTCACGTCCGGGCGGCTTCGGCGCCCCCGTGGCTGACGGCCGCCCCACACGCCTTAGAAATGGTGCTTTCCGCTGAAGAGACCCCATATCTATCACCCCCTGTGGTGCCCACTGAATTCTTTCACGAGGTGCTCCCACAGCCAGGGGCCTTGCTGACCCAGCACCCAGCGGAGGGTGCCCTGCTGGCGTGGGCCTGACCCTACGCCTGTCCCTGGTGCTCCGCGTCCACCTGCTGGACACGGCCTCCTCCTGGCGAGGACAGCGCGGGACGGGGACAGGAGCGGCGTCACGGACCTGGCATCTGGACGAGCAGAGCCGGCCGGGTAGAAAGACAGACCGCGTTCTGAGTGTCCGCCCTCGCGGCTCCGGCCTTCAGGGACCCGAGCCGGGAGAGTGACCTGAGCGCGGACGCGTTGGTGTCCGTCACCGGGAGGAGGCAGCCTCCGCCAGGCCCCACCACTGCCCCAGGTCGCGGCTGTTTGAAAGGCGCGTCCCGCCCTCACCGCCAGGACGGCCCGACCAGAACCTCGAAGTCGGCGCCGTGAGGCCAGCGCAGAAGCCGTGCGTCGAGGACTGCCGGGCCCCGCGGAGGCCAGAGGGACGGCGCGACCACAGCGCGGCAGCGGGCACAGAACACACATGGGCCGGCGCGTCCCCCGGACCTGACTTCGCCGAGGCGACCAGCCGACCCCTCAGGAGCCCGCCTGAGCCCGAGGCCGGGGAGCGGCGCCCTGGCTGTGTCCATGGCCCCCTCCAGCCCGGCGCTGTCCAACCGGAACCCCCTCGGCCCGGCCGGGCGGCTGCAGACCCACAGCACTCTGGCCGCGGGGAGGGAAGGAACGAGACTGGGCTGCTGGCTCCGCAAGCGCCGCGGGAAGGGCCTGCGGACGCCTGGGACCCAAGCGGGCAGCATGAGGGACAGGCGCAGGGGACCGGGCTTCGGGGTCCTGGCGCCCGGGACAGCCCGAGCGGGGGGACGGCAGCAGGAGCGCCCCGCGCCCTTCGCCCCGCCGCCAGCCCCGGCCGCCCGCCCGGGAGACAGCCTCCTGCTGGGTCTGCGCCGGCCCAGGGGGCCGCTCTGGCGCTGGGGACCCCTAAGCCAGCCGGCGCCCGCGGCAGCAGGGGGTCTGGTTCAGGGGTGTCGGGCAGCCGCAGGCGCTGAAACCCCCTCCTCGCCCGCGGGGCGCCCGGAGCCAGCGCCGACGTCCTCGCAGGACAGACCCGCGTGGGCGCGCCCGGGCCCCCAGTCCCGACAGGGACTCCCGGAGACGGGGCGCTCAGGGCGCCCCCAAGTCCCGCCCTGGTCCCGGGCCGCGGCCGCTGCCGGCGGGGCTTTACCTCGCGGCGGCTCAGGCTGGCGCTCTTGGGGCGCGGCTTCCTGCGCAGGTGCCCCGAGAAGAGCCTGCGCACCGCGCACTTCTTCATGCCGGGGTGCGTCGCCCCGCGCCCGGCCGGGGGGAGCCGCGGGGCCGGGGGACGCGCGTCCCCGGCGCATCGCAGGCGCGGGCGGGGGGGGGGGGCGCGGGCGGGGGGGGGGCTGGGGGAGCTGGCGGGGCGGGGGGGTGCCGCGGGCGGGTGTCCGGGGGCGCGGGCGGGGGGCGGGGCGCGGGCGGGGGGGGGCTGGGGGCGCTGGCGGGGGTCTGGGGGTGCGGGCGGGAGGGGCTGGGGGCGCTGGCGGGGGTCTGGGGGTGCGGGCGGGGGGGCTGGGGGCGCTGGCGGGGGTCTGGGGGTGCGGGCGGGAGGGGCTGGGGCGCGGGCGGGGGTCCGGGGGCGCGGGCGGGGGTCCGGGCGCGGGCGGGGGTCCGGGGGTGCGGGCGGGGGTCCGGGCGCGGGCGGGGGGCTAGGGCGGCGGGCGGGCGCGCGCGGCGGCCATCGGCGCGGGGCGCGGGGCGCGGGCACAAAGGGCAGGACGCGCGGCCACCGCGCCCGGCCCCGGCTCCCTCCGCCTCCCCCGCCGGGACCGGCCCGCGGCCCCGCCCGCGCCCCGCGGCCAATCCGCGCCGCCGCCCGGGCGCGCGCTCCAGGCCCCGGGGGACCCGCCCCCCGCGCCCCGCCCAGGCCCCGCGGCCAATCCGCGCGGCCCCCGCGCCCCGCCCCCGGCCCCCCCGCGCCCCCCCCCCGCGCCCCACTCGCCCAGACCCAGCCCCGCGCCCTCCCCGCGCCCCCGGCCCCGACGCCCAGCAGCAGCCGCAGCGGCGCCCCCGCCCCCCACACCCCGCGGGCGGCCCCAGTCTGGGGGCGTCACTGTCTCTCCTGCTGAGCTCCGCGCACACTCGGCCCCCGCCGCGCACACTCGGCCCCGCGCAGCGCACACTCGGCCCCCGCCGCGCACACTCGGCCCCCGCCGCGCACACTCGGCCCCGCGCAGCGCACACTCGGCCCCCGCCGCGCACACTCGGCCCCGCGCCGCGCACACTCGGCCCCGCCCAGCGCACACTCGGGCCCGCATCGCGCACACTCGGCCCCGCGCCGCGCTCTCTTGTGATGAACAAAACTTTAATTGTTGCTGGAAAATGGAGAAACCCGGAGAGCGCGGCGGTTGCTGCACCTCAGCCCGGCCAGCGCCCCCAGTCCCGCGCCCCACCCGCCCCTCCCGGGCCTGCAGCGCTGCACCTGGCCCGGGGCTGCCGGCACCCCGGGGAGGACACGCCTACCCGGGGGTGGCTGGTGGGGAGCAGCCCCAGGACGCCCCCCGGCCTTGGGCACAGGCCAGCACCCCCGCCCCCCATCTCGGCACAGGACCCAGAAGACGCCCGAGGCTGGGCAGGCCGCGTCCACCGGGCAGGCCACGTCCACCGCACAGGCCTGTGGGGCCCGAAGCCGCTGGCTGCAGGCTGCGCCCGACCAGCCGCAGAGGGATTTCTCCCCTAGAGATGCTCCTGGGGGGCTGTAAGGCCGTCCCGGCTCTGCGAACTCGGGACTCCGTGCGACGTCCACGCGCCGTGGCATTGATGTTCCAGCTAAGGTCAAGCAAGGTCGCGGGTGTGGTGTCCCCCCCTCTGCCGGTCCAGAATCAGGCCTGAGTCGCTGCACACAAGTGCTGCTCCTCCGCGAGCAGGCGAAAACCCACCCCAGGCGAAAACCCACCCAGGCGAAAACCCACCCCAGGCGAAGACCCACCCCAGGCGAAGACCCACCCCAGACGCTGCGTTCACCTGATGGCTGCTCTTTGCGCAGGGAGCGAAGGGGGCACATCCTGCCCCCCAACAAGAACTGGTGGGTTCCTGCTGCAGGTGGGTCCCCGTGAGGTCAGCGAGCTCCCTGGGTTTAATGGACGCTGCTGGCTCCGTGGAGCGCTGCTTCAGAAGGCGGGTGGAGCCCCCTCCTTGCCTGGGGAGCCTCCGTGCACACGCGTGACCCCCTCGTGCATCTCTAAGAAGAAACCACGTAAGTGAAATACGTTTCGCACTTTTCGTCCACATGTGGAGCCAGACTCCTGGTCCCGCCCCAGCCGCCAGCACGCAGGTGGGCTCCGAGCAGAGATAAGTCAGGCCCCAGCCCCCGCCCCACGTGGCGCTCTGGCAGGGAGCGCTGCTGCACACGGGCGTGAGGCAGGCCTCCCGGGATGAGGAAGGTCGGCTCGACCAAGCCTCAGCGGGGAGCTGAAGCCAGAATGCAGTGCCCAGCTGGGCCAGGGCACCCTGCTCCTGGCGAAGGCCCGGGCCGGCCTCAAGGGACGTCTGTGCTGCACAGCGGCACCCTGACCGGCGAGGCCAGACTGGCGAGGAGATGCCTTAGGAGACATTCAAGATTCCCTGGATTTGAACTTTGAAGTCTCAAATGGAAAAAAAAAAGCTCCCCTAATTCCACGGTGGGATGCACCCCACGGGGAGAACAAGTCCGCCTGCCCTCGCTCGCGGCCCGGCTCCGACAGACGTGGGCCCGGGGGGCGTCTCGCCACTCGCCGCGGTGAGCTGGAAAGCTGGCGAGAGACGCAGCCGCGGCCCACGGTTGGCTCTCAACGTGGATGGGAAAACTGCGCCTGCAACTAAATTGGTGTTTCCTAATCAGAAAAGGGACGGGGCGGACAGTATCCCAGGACGTCATTTCACTTAAAACCACAGTCTCGAGCTTTGAAGGCAGCTCTGGAAGGCCGACCGCCGGCCTCGCGCCCGGGAGGGAGGGGCAGGGCGGGGAGGGGCGCGACGCGCTCAGTGGACCGTGGCAGGGGACTGAGGTGTGGACGTGCTGGCCGGCCCTGGGGACCCTGCTGGGGGATGCTGCTGGGGGCCGCGGGCACTTCGGTGGAGGGAGCGCTCCAGTGGCCGCTCCCGGGGCGGGGGGGAGCCTCTCCTGTCCAGGGGGAAGCAGGCGTAAAACAACAGCGCTTCAGCAGTGAGATACAGCCGAGGCCCGTGGCCAGGGAGGCCGCCACTGCCCACGCCGCCGAGGGACTCGCACAGGGTGGGAGGACGACCCCCACCCCAGCCTTGTCCTCACCCCCACACCCAGTGGTCACATCGCCCCCCGCTACCTGGGGGGACTGGCCCGTGACCCCGAGTGATAGTTCTGGTTTGCCAAGGGCAGGCGACACACACAAGGGAGACCGGAGGCTCCCAGAGGGGTCAGATCTGGCCACGGGGCGTGGAGGCCGATGCGCCGACCTGGAACCTCCCTGCCCCGGCCCTGACGTCACTGCCTTGGCGGCTCGTGTGATTTCACTTCCGCCTGGATCACATCCGCCGGGGCCCGATAGTAATCGGGTTTGGGGTCGCGCTGTAGGTGTGAGGCTGGGGACCCCCGCGACGCCTTCATGCTAACGCCACAAGGAAACGGCAGTTTCCGGACCGAGCTTCCTTGGGGTCACTCAGGCTGTCGTTTACAACCTGCCCGCAGAAGCGCGGCTGCGATGTGCCTTCAGGCCTGCACCAGAGTCCAAGCTGCCCCTGGGGGCCTGCAGGCCCGGCTGGAGCAGCCGCCCCTGGCTGGCGGGCGGGGCCCACCTCTCCAGGCGACCGGCCAGCACCCGCCAGGCGACGGAAGGAGGCGAAGCCACAAGGGCAGCCGTAGGGCCGCACAGAACCAAGCTGGGCCTGGGGGTGGGCGGGTCCTGACCCCGGTAGCGCAGGGGTCTTTACAAGAACACACGCACACGTACACATCCGCACGCGCGCGTGCACACACACACACACAGATGGGCTCCGAGGGACCGGAGAGCTTGTCGACAGCCCGAGGGCTCCTGGAGCTGGGGCCGGAGAGACCCCAGGACAGACACTCCCAGAGGCATCTGGGTTTGGGTCTCTGGCAGAATCTTCCTGAGGGGTCGGTGGGGTGGGGCCTCAGGGGACCCTGAAATAAGTGCTTTGGGGTAAGCACAGCTTCCAGAACCTCCCAGGAAAAGGACAAAGTGGAGGCCCCGCAGGAGCCCGGGGCAGGAGGGCAGGGGTGGGGCAGAGGCAGGAGCCCCCGGGCAGGCTCACTCTCCTGACTGGGCTTTTCTGTCTTCACGACGGGCCCCGTGGCTGAGTGCCCGTGGGACGTCTGCTCCCAGGAGGTCACTTGGTGGCTGGTCTTGGCCTTCTGTGCTGGGCGCCGCTGCCAGGTGTCCACCCCAGCTGGGTGTGTGGCACTCGCTCCAGCGCCTGGCCTCGCGGGGTCCTTGCCTTTGAAACGGCGCCACCCACGCCCTGACCCTCAGCCGTCAGCCTCAGCAAGGAAGTCCCTGCACCCCCCAGCACCGCACCCTCCGCCAGGCCCAGGGTCTCCCCGCCACCTCCTGGCCCAGGTCTAAGCTCCGACGACGCTGGAGCTGACCCCACCCCAGCTCCTCTCCCACGGGCAGTGCCAGCCGCCGCTCGGCCCCAACCTGCCGTGCCCTGGCGCTGACGCAGCAGGTCCTGAGGTCAGAACACCCCTGCCACCCCCGCCTCGGCCCATGTCCTGCCCCGCAGCCGGCTCTGCTCTCCTGCGCCGCCGGCCGGCGCAGCCCCCCAGCCGCCCTTCCCGCTCCCGCCTCCGGCCCTGCTGCCCCCCAGCTCTGCCAGTGTTGGCCGCTGTCTTTAAAGCCTCACTCAAGTTGGCCCTTCCGGGCACGCGGTTTCTTTTCCCAGTAGGAGGAGCAGCCACGCGGCCTGGGCAGCTGTGACCTCTGCATCTCAGCCTGCAGCCTAGTGTCCCTTCCGCGCTAACTTTCCTGCTGCCTCACACGCTACTGTGGGGTTGGCCTCCCGGCCGCGGCACCCCCGCCCCCAGGGTCCAGCAGGGGCGGCGGAACTGGCCTAGACGGCAGACGCTGGGGCTGTGCACACCCGCCAGACTGGGGCACCCAAGGGCCCGGGCTCAGGGCCACGCACGCGTCCGGGATGGAAGCACCCGGGGGGCGCAGGGCGCCTTCGGCTTTGTCCTGCGGCCGCATCCCAGCAGCGGCTCCTGGGCAGACGCCACCCGCCGGGCGCAGGCCGACAGGGACTTCACCATGCGGGGCCGCGGCGGCTGCCTCCTCGGCACCTTACTCTAGCCCGTCACTGCCCCTAAGAGACGCTGGCTGTAAGGCTGACCAGTCAGGCG